CTACAATGTCTGAAGCAAATCCTTAAAGAAAACACTGTAAACAGTTGAACTTAAAGTCACAAACATGGGCAATAATTTTAAGGCAAGATTCTAAAAGTAGAAAAAACAAAAACATAATTTGACAAATGGGATTAATACACATGCATGCACACACACAGACACACACATGTGAATTGCAAACAATTCATCTGAAAAGGGTTAATACTAGAATACACAGAAATTTTCAATATTCAATATGAAAAAGCCCAAGTAACCCAACCCAAAATACTCAAAGAATATGAACAGTTACATCTCAAAAGGAGAAAAATTTGAAGGCCAAGAAAATTACAGAAAAATGTTCAACTTCACTAGTTGTCATGGAAATGTAAATAAAAATCACACTGAAATACTGTCTCAGCCCAGCTAGAATGTCTCTTATCAGAAAATACAAAAGGAAACTAAAGGTGCTGAGTACTGCAGAATAACCATTCGTACACTGTTGTTGAGAATGCAAATTTAACACAGGCATTATGGGAAAACAGTATGGAAGATCCTTAAGATACTAATCTACCATAAGATCCAGCCTTCCAACTTCTGGGTATTTATTCAAGGGATATGAAATCAGCATATCAAGGACAGCCTGCATACCTACGCCTGCCGCTGCACTACACACAATATTTAGATTGCAGAAGCAGCCTAGCAGCCCATCACAGAAAGTGGGTAAAGAAAATGTGGTGCTTATATACTACAATATTCATAGGATGTAAGAGAAAGTTATTCTATGGCTCACAGTCACATGAATGGAGTTAGAAGACTTTATGGTAAGTGAAATCAAGTGAAGTACTGTTGTTCCCTCCCAGATATGAATGCTTTAGACAATGTTGACTGGAATTTTTAATAGTGATTAACAGATATGTGAATAAAGGGCACAAAGGACAGTGGGAGGCTGGGGCACAGTTCACAGGCAGAGGAAGACAGAATTAGTACAGTCTGTGTTCTTCAGAAGAGTTGGAGGGTGTCATATTTCATATAAGCTATCATTTTCTGAATAATAGCAGAGTCTCAAAGTATCCATAAATAGCAATGATAGGAGATGGGAAATCAAAGTTTACTACCTGGATTTGACTTTATAAATCATATATATGTATCAAAATATTACACTACAACCCACAAATCAGTATGTTTGAAGTTGTAATTTAAATATCAGGAAAGTAAGAAAAATGTTTCTATGGAGCAAAATGCTAAAATAATGTGTGGAACAAGGAATGAGAAACCCAACTCACAAAGTACAAAATAATCTGTCCTGTGAGGGGACAGTAGACAATCCACACAGAGAAAGACAGACCGGATACAGGGACAAGACCAAGCAGTCTCCTCTGTCCCTGGCAATCTGACAACATCCTCTAAACATTCGCTGTACCCATAATGTCCACAGTATTCATCCTCTTCCTAGCTGCCTGTGCTCATTTGAAGTCAATATTTTGCTGAATTGGCCAAAACCATTGATTAAAATTCAAAGCACAGATCTTAGAAAAGCAGCCATGTATGCTGAATATGCCATAGAATATCTACCACTAAAACATTTTCAGAGCAATTTTCCAAAACATGGATTAACTGAATTCTAAGCCAGTGGTCATAGTCTGGCATTTGGCAGTTGGTGGGATCAAACTGGATTATTGGCTCTATTTGGCGATTCAGTGCATTCATAATACTTATTAAGACTCCAAAGTCATAAAAGGAATGGCCCGAAGAAGTTGGGTACCAACTCAAAGAACTATACATCTGGCAAATACTCCATGTTTATCAAGAAACTCAAGTTTGGTTTTCATTCGCAATAAAAGGTTACTCTTTTTCACTAAGAATGTTTTATCAGTATTTTTTCTGAGTGGGAGATGTTTTAAATTAAAATTTAATGCATTATAAAACATGTATATGTACCTGCATATGTATATACAAAGACTGTAACCTGGATGTGAAAAACAGGCACTCACGCCTTATGCAAACAAATAGTCTTGATTTGGGTTCATAAGAATAGCCATGGGCTGGAGAAATGACTCAGGAGTTAAGAGCACTGGCTGTTCTTACAGAGGATCCTAGTTTGAATCCCAGTACCTACAAGGCAGCTAATTACCACCCAAAACACCAGTTCCAGGGAACTCCTACACACTCTTCTGACTTCTGCCAGCAATGCACAATATGGGAGTTCATGTATAT